ATTACATAATACAATCTCTCTCCCAGCAAATGTAAATTAATTGATGTTTTATTTAAGGAAGTCCCCAAAATGTCTTAAGTGGTCTCCATAGCAACCATGCTGTGCCAGTAAATAGGAGCACACCAGAACAATGCTGTAATTGCTTTTGGATACACTAGCAAGCAATGTGTGTGTTTAAGAAAAGCAAGCAATACTAATAATCTTTTTAATGAAATGTTAATAGCTTTAGAAAAATATTACAAGGCAAGTTTGACATACAAACAACTTCCCAGAAAAATTTCATCATTTGAAAAGGTATTTGGGGACTTGTTTTCTTTTTAAAGTATTTTTTTAAAAAAAATGCATAGTAAAATTTATGTATGACTGAATTAGCTGAAAACCTTACAGCTCTGGCTACTCTTATCTCCACAATGGATTACAGAACACAGTGAGGTTTTGATGAGCATGTAGGAAGTTCCACGTCGATTAAAATGATGACAATTTCTGGAGCACCAGCTGCTCTAACAAAACTTTTATTCTACCTTCAGAATACAATTCATGTTAATTATTCTTCAGTGTTAATTATTTTGAACAGCTTAAAAGCCTCTGAGCCATTTCCCCAAACAGCTACTTCTTAATATAAAGATAGTACACATTGGTTCCTAATCTAAAGGCCCCCAAATGGTTTGGACTACAGTTCCCATCATTCTCAGCCAGGCTGGAGGAGTCTGCAATGCCTAGAATTTTCCAGTGGATGCAATCCTTATTTGTACAAACCATGTGGGTAATTATTCACGTAGATTCTCCAGCCTGGCATCTTCCAGATATTTTAAACTAAGAACTCCCATTATCCCTGATCATTGATCATGCTAGTTGGGGCTGATGGGAGTTTTACTCCAAAATATTCAGAAGGCATGAGGTTGGGGAAGAATGATTTAGAGTGTGACTCTTTCTGAAGCCAAGTGCAGGTAGGTTTCATTTCTTTATTCTTGATTGAATTAATTACTTTTGTCCCCTTTTGTAGATGGAAAATTGAGTCAGTGGCAATGTCTCTGGTCTTTTCTACTTGAAGGCTCTTGGATGTTCCTGATTCACTATGAAAATTGAACAATATCTGTATTTCTAGATGGTATCAAATATAGCATTATATTCCCTATTGCACTGATGTTCCCAAAGAAATCCCATTCAGTTCAACAGGGCTTCTTCTCTAGAAACTACACATATGATTTGATTGCAGACTTCAACCAGCAAAGGTTTCCCCATCTACCATAGCTTAAAGCAACTCATGCCCTATAATGAACCTGGACTTTTAGTTACTTGCTTGCTAAATTCCAGGCACCAGCATCTAGCCCTTTAATGACTAGCAACTGGAACTCTAATCCTAAACTGTCTCATTAATCTGCTTGTGCAAAAAGGGAAGTGAAAATTATTTTGCATAATTAAGACCCAACACTTATCCCTAACATACACACTGCTGCCTGAAGAGTATGAATTTCTTTGCACAAGGTTGAATTTCTATTAGTTCAGAATAGCCAGAAAGGAGATGGGGGAAAAAGGACCTGACAATGTAGTCTCACAAGACCATCCAGTTGACCAGCTCCTCAGCCTCGCTTTCCTTCAGCACCACCTCAGAACCAGTTGGCTCATCACAGCTAAGGGGAGATGCATATGTTAGTGCTGCTGGTGGTCAAGCTGGGCAAACTACTGGGAATGAACAAAGCTTCTCATCTGCTGTAGCCAGGCTGAGCCCAGGCTATGCTTCTTCCTGAAAGAGCCTTCTCCTCCTGCTTTCCCTGCTTGTACATATTGGACAGCAAATGAGCTGTCCCAGTGAATAAGCCAATGTGGGTGCAACCTGAGTTTCTTTATGGCTTTGATGCCAAACTCTGAACCACTGAACTCTTCTGATTCTCCACTGGCATCCCATCCTGTAAGTGAGGCTGTGGTTGACTCCAACTATCTCCCTCCTAACACTTCCCTTTGTATAGTGAAATACAATCCTAGAGGAAACACAAAGAAACCCAAGGTGCCTGGTTTTGCAGCAAACTCATAGCATGGTAAACTGGAGGTAACAGATAGAATACTACAGCTATGCAGTTAAATGCATTCTTCAAGTCTACTACTTCGTTATCTTGGCTAGAGCTACTTAATACAATAATGGCCATATGGGATCCATCCAGTCCAGCACTCTGTTCACACAGTGGCAAACCAGCTGTCCACAGGAACCTTCCAGCAGGAGGGGTATAAGACCTCTGCCTGCCCAAACTCCTCAGCAGCTGTAGGTGCTTATGACAGTTTCAAGCCATTAGGTCACTTTTCTGTTGCAAAGAAAAAAATTGAGTGGATTCTTCTCTAATACTGAATGATTGCTAGAGTGCATTCTTGAGTATCAATAGCATTGACCCCAGAGTTGGCACTAAGCAGGCTATTGTGTTGGATATTAGCTCAATCAGTGCGAGCAGTGCAATGTTGGCTCCACAAACAGATGCCATGTGAAAGCAGAACTTACATAAAATAGATGTTACAACCTGATACTGATTTTATCTGGCCAGGGCGGCTTATTTTATATTGTATTTTTTGGATTTTTAATGTTTATATTAATTTATTGTTGTAAGCCGCCCCGAGGCTTCGGCGAATGGGGCGGCATAAAAATGTTTTAATAAATAAATAAATAAAAATACCTTCAGATGTGCTGGACTGGAATTCCCATCATTTTCAGCCAAAAAATTTACAACTTTTTCTTCCTCTTCTTTGGGATAACAAAACAGATCTTAGCATGCTACTTCAGGTTTATGTGACTGACTTACATCTTACTATTACATTTTAACCATTCATTTATTTTCAAATCAAGGGAAAGAAGTTAAATATTTTCTTTACTGTTTTGCTAAATGCTTCCAGATGGTATGTTGGGAGAGACATGCCTTAGGGGTACAGTATCTGTTTTGGATGCCGAAGGACCCAAGTTCAATAACCAGCACTCTAGTCTCTGCCAGTCAGTGTAGGTTGAGCTAGATGACAGTCTTGAGTAGGTATTCAGCAGCTTCCTACATGTTAAAGCATCACTTGAACTCATATTAGTGAATGTAAGTGCAGAACCATAGGACAGTAGCTAATTCCAGAAACGTTTAATACAAAGTTACATCTTGCACAAGTGCTTCCTAATGTTTATCCAGGATGAGATCTGGATGAACTCTAAAGTTGTTTCCAAGAAGTAAGATGAGGAAACAAGTACAACTCTCAGAACAATAGCTCATGTGATAAATTAAACCTCTTAGCTCTGGGGTCTGTACATAGCAGCTAAGTAGTTAATGATGACCAAGGATAGAGAATGGAAACATTGCAAGAGAATAAGGGGAGTGGGGAGGGACACACACACAGCTAGACAGATTTTTGATTGATATAAAACTTTTGATTTTTTTTTTCATGATACAATGATTACTATTTCAAATAAAGATCCTGAATATATTTGATCCTTCTCTTCCCCAACTCATTTATGACATTCCAGGTATAAAACATAGTCTGACCACTTACTAATTCAGAGAAACTTACTGATTGCTTTATTGAGAGGGAGACTTTTAAAATGAAATAACCAAAAACTGTGTGTGGGGTGGGGGTGGGGGAGAATCTAATACATTCTCAGGAAACACAATACATCAATTTCATTCAAAAATTTATCTTAGGAAATAATTTTGCTAGCACTCTTTTTAAAATGATTTTGATGCTTCAGAAGTTATTAGTTTGTGCAGAAGTTTATTTTCTTTAGAACTTTATATTTTCATTTGTACTCAAAACCATAAGTGAATTGACTCCTTCAGCACACTCCGTGATTTATTGTCATTTTTGTCACAGAGATAAATGAACAACAGTAAGTAATAGCATACTGAAAGAATATTACAGAATATGCACCTTATATGCTGAAGTAGTTATGTAGGGAGCACAGTTATTATGTGTCATTGTGCACAAGCTCTGATCTGACTTGTGACTTGCCCAGCCCAGTTCTGCACATGTTTAATTTAAGAGCTGAGATCTTTCTCCCAAGGAAAGGTGCCTAGCATTGCAGCCTTCTCTCAGCTACTCAACCCAGCCTGGAAAACCATGCAGAGATAATCAGTTAAGCACAACCAAGAAGAAAGCATTACCATCAAACAGAATCAGTTTCCACAACCTGTAAGCCAAGGGATGTAGCATTAGAGGAAATGGAGAAAGGAGAATATGAGGTCTATATAGCTTAATCCTCATTATCAAATCTTCACAGCTCTGTGGCGTACTGCTCTATAATCCCCTCCAATTAGCATGTGCAAATGCATAATCCCATTAGCCCCTCAAGGTTTTATCCAGCATGAGACAAATTGAAAGAAAAGAAATCTTGGGGTTTTGGATGGGGAGGCCAAGTATCGTTTAAAGAATCCTACATTTATATAATGGTCATCTTTGCAAATTACCAGCTTCAGATCTGCATTTGATGGGTTTAGTATTGTCTTGTTTTCAGGGAAAAGAAACTTATGCATTAAATCGGTTTACACCTGTAAGAAAGTAAGTTATTAGGTAAATAATATATCAGTAACACTTCCTTGATGAACACATAATACACCACGATAGAAAATTGGAAGACTTTTTTAGCCCCCGAGAGGCAGAACATTCCAATCCCAACTCATTTTGTTCTCCCTTATTGAAATTGCCTCTTTCCCAATCTTGCACCCGCAACTGACCACATCATTTCCAGGCAGCCTGCTGCAGCGTCTCAGCCCCAGAGCTCTTTTTAGTTTCCTGCCATTTCATCCGTGTCTCAATTTCCTAACTGCTGCGGGCGGCAAGTTATAGGATCGCATTTCTTTCCTTCCTTGTAGCAAGCATCTTCTTGTGTGGCAGATCCTGACCTGGCCTCGTTTCTCACTCCATCGTCGCCCCCGCCCTTCCCCCCACTTTCCGGGTAGACTTCTTAGAAATGCACGGCAAATTAAATGTTTAAAGGATCATTAAAAATCATCATTCACCCACGCAGGATTGTGGCCGGTACTCACCATCTTCCTTCTCATCGAACACGGGTCTTTTGGAAGAGGAGGAAGTACTGGCTCCCATCCTTTTCTTCCACTTGCTCCAGTGAAACATTGGCAAAGGAGGCGAGATGGCATTCCCTAAAAGTCCTGAGAATTAGGGCGCGGCGACAGCAGTGGAGACAGAGGCAGGAGGGAGAAAAAGAAAGCCTTCAAGATGGATCTGTTATGGGCGCGTGTGTGCCCGCGCGATTGTAACGCCTGTGTGTAGCGTGTGAGAGTGGCTCCTCATCCCAGCCAACCCTCACGTCTCTCTCTCTCTCACTGTCTCTCTCTCTCTCTCTCTCTCACACACACACACACACACACGCAGAAACACCCCTACACGGCGTGGACACATATGACGCTGGAAGAGGCGGAGGAAGAGGGAACGAACAAACGGCTGATGACTGCAAGTACAAAAGAATCAGAGCCTTTGCTTTAACACTCGCTTGCTGCCAGGTCTGATCCCTCGCCACAGTTGCTGCCGCCTCTACAACAAAGAGACCGGAGACCCCACCCCCGAAGCGCCAGATCTCCTCGCTTATACCAAAATCAAAGCCAAAAATGCCAACCTAAGAATCCCCAAAATCTAAATCTTTCCGGCTTCCTTAATGCAACGCGAATCTCTTTCTCTCCCCCTGCCTCCACAGAATCAGCACTTTCCCAAAGAGAGAAGAAGGCACGGCACCGCTGAGGGACTAGGCACACCCCCAAACAATCTGGAGCGGTCTGTTCTTGTGCGTGTGTTTTGAAGGCAAGACTCCGGAGGCGAGTGCCCTGAAAGTGATCGCGACTGGCTGTGCGCCGGATCTTGGCTAGGTGGCGCTCGAGGATGCGCAAAGGTGGAGATTACCTTTAACCTTCTGAGATCATCGCGATGCAGCTTGCTGGAGGCGGGGGCACTTTTGATAGAGGAGAGGTGAAAGTGTCAGACTTATCTCTGTTTTCCTGTGCTCAGTCCAAAGGAACAGATGGATATTAGTAAATATATCTAAATATGATGGGACCATAGGGGGAAGGGAGGAAAGAGAAATAAGAATAGTAACAATTGTTAATTGTATTAACTAGTAGAAGCATAAAAACAGAGCAAGTCAGAAGGGCCTCCTGGGCCATCCAGTCTGCTCCCCGCCCGCCCCCCTCCCCGACTCCAGCCCGGCTCCACTCATGACATGCCTACCATGATACTAGGCTTTAGAGAATATGAGCAGGGGGACATTATTCCCTTATGTTGGATGTAGGCTTTTCGTACACATCTGGTTGGACACTGTGAACAAAATTCTAGAGATATGCCACTGGCCTGATCCAGAACAGCTCCACCCATGCTAGTCATCTGGGAAAAAATCAACAACTTCAGCTGATGTTGCTGTAATAACTTAAGTCCTATTTGCTATCATGTCCTTTCATTGAATTCGGTGGAGACTAATTTGGAGGGAAAGAAAAAGAAGTAAATAAGACATACAAGAAAGTATGTAAATCCTTCCAAGTGACCACTGGAACTCATTAAGCCAAGGGTGACTGGTGACTTGCCCCACAGTATTACTTTGAATGGCCAGCAAAAGGTAATATAACACCGAAGGAAACTGAACCAGGACTGGTGTCAGTACCTAACAGAGAGTTTCAAAGAAGTATGATTTGTCACCATGTTTTAAAGTTGAAAATAGCAAAGGAAGGCTAAATTCAGCCTCCAGGATGATTGCGTACTCCAGGCAATTTAATATTTTCCCTATTTTAAGCAACTCTTGTGGTGTCTGTATAACCACATTTTTTAACAAACCTTGCATTTCTTTCAAACAACACTAATTATTTCATGGCAGTTTTCTTCCTCTTATTTCATTGTTGGTTTAAATTGAATGCTGTAGGATTAAAAAAAAAAAAAACCTAAAAGGGAAGGGGGAGGAAGGTTTGGGTTTAAAGTAGCCTGGCAGCATCCAGATGTGTTGAACTACAACTCCAAGCATCCACCAGCCAGATATGCCAGCAGAAAATACTTGGAGTTGTAATGCAACATATCTGGAAGGCTAGTTTAATATGTGTCCTGGTCTTCAGTGGCATTGCCTTGCTCATCTTAATATAGATCTTTTAAAAATCATAGATACATAGCACAATAAAGATGAAAGGTTCTTTACTGATACATAACTTTCAAGCAGCAATAGAAGGTGCTAAATAAAATACCACTTTAATTGGGCAAATAGAGAGTTGCTTCATCTTTCATTCAAATGACTGGGATTAGGGCTTTTGGAACACCAACAGATAGCATAGGAAATGAACAGTTTATGTTTTGTGGCTCTCAGAAAGAAGTTGTGTTCAGCCTGCTGTTTCGTATGCTCACTAGAAGCTAAGTCTCAGAGGCAATTTGTCTTCAAGGAGCTGCAACAAGTGGCAGCCACCATTATGAACATGCTAGCCTAGCAGGTTGGAGCATGCCCTGTAGCATTCTGCAAAGATTCTATAGGTTATCTAAGGGTTATCTAAGCTAATTCTCATCAGCTGGGTTTGCAGGACAAAGCAAACCCCAAATATGAAGGGGATAAGGTTAAAGGGTAAAGGTTTCCCCTTGACATTAAAGCCCAGTCATGCCTGACTCTAGGGGGCGGTGCTCATCTCCGTTTCCTAGCCAAGGGAGCCAGCGTTTGTCTGCAGACAGTCTCTGCGGTCATGTGGCCGGCATGACTAAACACCAAAGTGCACAGAACACTGTTAAAAAGTAGATACTGAAGTGGTACCTTTTTATCTACTTGCATTTGCATGCTTTCGAACTGCAAGGTTGGCAGGAATGAAGGGGGTGACATATTCATAAATTCACACTGCAGTTCAAATTAACTTTTGAGGGGTTGTTAACAAGGACACTGAGTTCAGTGGGTCTAAAATGTGCAATGAATTGCAGCCTAAAGTCAAATTTGTCAAATTTTATATACCAGCATTACAGCTGAGTTCCAATGCTATACCAGGTAAAGAGGTGCAATACAACTAATTAGAACAAATTCTAGTGGGATGCTTGTGTTCATCTGTTGTAGTAATCTCACCCCAAACTCATGTGCTCTGCAAGTGTAACACTGGGGTAGACAATGTATGGTCCTCCAGATGGCGTATAACTTCCATGATCCTGCACCATTGGCTATTCTGATTAGGGCTGTTGGAAGTCTGACACTCCAGATATCTTGGCCTAAAGGTTGCCTACTCCTACAACTTGATATATTGTGACAAAAGCTTTAATGGCAGAGAGTGCATTGAATCAGATGTACACAATGCTATCTTCAATTAACCATTCATATTCATACATAAACCAGCAAACCAAAAGGTCATAAAATGACAGCAGCCAGTTTGGAAACAAAAATGCATACAAGTTGAAAATGTGGCCTATTCAGGACTGTTGTAATTATTAGAGATAATACTAGCTTTGAGGCTATAGTAGGGTAATCTAACACCCACAGTGACTAAAGAAGCCAAAGTTCTGAAGAGGACGGGTATATACAATCAACAGAAATAATTATGCAATCTGTATGAAATGCTAGGGTGGAAAGGATACCTCTCTGTGCTAGTCTGTCTGTATTTTATACAGGTGCACCATATACAGGAGGAAGGAGAAAATGTTATTTTTGCTGTCAGTGAGCAAGTTGCTAGTATCCCAATTCATGAATAGTCTGAGGGATATTTTCCTTAAACCCCTGTGACTTATGGGGTGTACATCTGCATATTTCCAACTTTTGTGTGGCGCAATTGGGGCTACCACCCGAAGAGGAAGCTTAAAATATCACTTTGAGAGAGCAGAACAGTTACAGGAGTTGGTTTGGTTTGGTTCCGAGTCATTGCTATGTTTAGCGTTTGGTGGTATGCTAAGCATATGGCCCAACTGTGTGCATCATTTCATAACCAAACAATAAACAATACATTTTCTTCCTGGTTGTTTACATTTAACCACACATAGTTAAACCATAATGCAAAGCACAAAATAACAACCCACAATTCAATCCTCATTCTGGCTTGTCATAACATGCCAGTCATGAAACTGTGCTTAATGGGATTTGCAAAAGCTGTGTGCTTATCACAACTTTATCCCAAAGGTGGTAGAACTTTTTTTGCCATGGAAATAGTCATGACAGGAAAAACCCTTTTCACACTTCAGCAGATTAGCTTTTTGGTTGTTGTTTGTTTGTCATATAGGTGATAAATCCCTGAATTTTTGCTAGGAAAAAAAAGGTAAAGAACCAGTCTTGATTTTTCAATGCCCATTCTTGCATCTTGCCCACTGTTCTGTTTGAAAGACTCCTCAGTGCTTTTCAGGATTGTGCTTAGAACAAAAGGATATCATTTGTATTGGCATGACATTATTTAGAAAGCAAACGGATAATAATGGCATGTGCTCGTGAAAATTTTATTGGGAGAAAGAGGGTGGCCATATTTATGTTGGCCATTTTGATGCTGTCTGAAATAGAATATTTCAACTCACTTTTCATTAGATGCCAAGTCAGCATTTTTAAAGTCAAATACTTGCATGCTCGGCACTGTCCGAAACCCTAACCAAAAATGAACACTATTATTTAAAAGGAGACTATTTGCTGCATGTGTGCATAGAGTTCTATCCTATTCAACAGTACCACTAACATAAATTGTGTTGAACTAGCAAAAGTAACCTACTCCAACACCATTAGTATATGTTGGCAGAACAGGTCCTGTGGGAAAACCTAGTACAACAATTTACATTAGTTCTAGTGTCAGCTAGAATACTGTCCAATATCTCCACATTTTGCAATTCCTTCCTATTAGTATGAGAAAAAGATATTCCAAAGAAATGTTAATAACCTGTTTTTATTTTCCGGATATTTTCAGAATTAAAAGAAAATTAGTAGATTAATGTTTGTCCATCTCATAACTTTGTGCTAAACTGCAGTGACATGGCTTTCTATTAGTCTGTATTTGCTGTTGCTCTGCCCTAGTTATTGACTTGTTCCATTATTATGGATTTAAGACTTAATGTCCCATCCATATCTCAAGTATTTTTCGCACTGTTTGTTTAGAGGGGATGGTTAGCATATCTTCACAGTCTTACAAGGCTGTGATTGTGGTGTATGTGCTTTATTTATAGTGATTGTGGTATATGTATTTTTAAAGAAATCAACATGTTTTCTCTTTGGAATGGTTTTCTTTCTCTTAGGAAAAATAAAAGCAAAACAAAAAAACCCCACCTGCATTTCTTTTAATTCTGTAATATCTAAATGTGTGTAACTTCAAACCTTAAAACTTTGAGCAAGTGGGCAAGTGTCCTCACAGGATACAAGCTGTGTAAGAGAT